ATTATCTGGCATGTCGTTCTGCTTCCCAAATGATAAAGATCTTAAAAGATGATAGATGTATATAGATATCACAAACTACATGTCAATATATATTATTGGATACTAACCAACTTGACTTTGCGTTATAGTAGTAGTAGGTATCTCATCGATCTGATTGCGTGATAATGGTGGTGGTCCAGTACCATCCATTTGATTCAATAATTGGGTAACAATAGCGTCTAATCCATCACGACCCCAAACATAATCTCCAGGATTTCCCAAGAACAGTCTAACATTGAATCTACATTATTTTGTTTTATTTTAGTAATACTAAAGATTAAATAAAATTGTTTAATGACTTGTACCCTCACGGATGAATGAACTTTTTAAATATTTACTGTTGCCATCACTGTTGGAAAAGCATGTTTACAATTGATGACAATTCATGTGGTTTTATGAAAATGAATATTTGTGAGAAAAAAAAACAGATCGAAATGTAAAAATTTAAATAATTACAATAATATGAAAATGAAAAAATGAATGTGAAAAAATATTTCTTGAGAATATGTAAATTTAAAATGCTATAAATATCGATCTATTATGATAGAAAGAAATATAACGTATCTTTATTTTATAATTATACAGGCTAATATCACAAGTAGTATTTATCACTTAAAACAACTTACACAGATGGCTGTGCATCTTGACCCACAGAATTGCTTAGACTCGCTGCTCCCGAAAGATTGAAGATAAAATCTTGTATGAAATTCTCTATAGGCATCTGTAGGCTCTCTTGTCTTCTACGATTGCTATTTCGTAAAAAAAAAAAAAAAAATTAAATTATTACCTTATCAATTTTCCAAGTATCATGCATACAAGACATTAAAATAAATATATAATTTTGCATTTACAAAGATGGAAGAAGGGACCAAATACACCATTTGTCAAATTTAATGTCAAACAGGTAAATTCAATTATCTAGCGATCTTTGAAAACTGCATCATTACATGTGACATCAATGGACCCAGAATGTTTATTTTGCAACTATTGACAGTTTTCTTCTCGCTGATTGGATTATATTTTTAGATCTGAGATAATAGTATCCTATCTTAGCAAAGAAAATTTCCAATAGTTGCAAAATAATGACTGTGTTCAATAGACGCAGCTTTACAACTCTTGTAAAATTTTTTAATATGATTGATCTTGCCCTATATATATTTAAATCCAGTTCCTCGCTGGATCTAAATGTATAAATCAATTATATTAAATATTACAATTGCAAAGCTTTTTTCTGTTAAAGGTAGCCATCGATGTGTGGCAGTTTGGTACAGAAAAGATACCTGCTGGTACGACGTCCATCTTGAGGATTACGAGACCAATTGGACCTCCTTCTGCTCCCGAGCACATAGTTCCTATTGCCTCCACCCGGCTGTTGACTGGTGTTCAATTGTTGATTGGTATATGTATTCGAGAGACCCATTATCATCTCTATTATATCACGATCACGGTCAGAGCGCTGTGAAGGTTGTAACAAATGGATGTAGAGTTTATATATTTCTAATGATTTGTCAATAATTCTTGGCTTAATTAAATTTAAACTCACGTTCAAGGTCAAGATGTCGATATCCCCATCACTCAGTTCTTCGCTGTTCATATCCATACCTGAGCTGCCCTCATTGCTGCTGCTCTCCAACTCTTCAATGAAACCGCTCGCGCATCGTGGACACGTATAATTCTAATTGGAAGTGAAATGTCATGGGAGTCTGAGTTACGCAATGTAGATTGCAAAGTCTGTCTTCGACAGATTGCCTGGGACATATGTACATGCTCGTATTAGTTAGACACTTGCAAATTAACCCGGCGTCATTGTGGCTGGGTCGTAATGACCCGAGACATTTTTTAAACATCTGTATTTTCTTACATACTTCGTAGATTTTAACTAACTGCCCTATAGCTGAAGCTAAGACTTTCTAAAACTATTGTTGACATTGCGAAAATAGATCAAAAAAATATTTCATTGGTTCATGATCTACCTCAACAATCGTGTAACATTTTAGCATCACAATGATGTCGGGTTAAATACATGCAGAATGAATATATCCCAGAAAATCAAAGTCCATATTCGGGACAAATCTTAAGACATTTTTGTAATAACTGTTTAAAAGACATCTTATAAAATGTCTTATATCCCGATTTTGGACTTTATAGATGCTTTCCAACAAAAAAACACAGATGACAATATAATACAGTAAATTTTTACTTTTTTATTTGTCAATGTTAAAAAAATCAAAGATGAAATGATCATTGTGTTATATAAGTTTCTTGTTGCAAAACACCACGTATTAGGCTTATATTCCATGTATTGTACGACAAACTTTAAGTCTATTGATTAGTTATAGAATCAAAATAACAAAAAGATCGGAAAATCTTTTTGTCCTGCAGCTAATCAACAGACTTAAAAAGATTTGTTGTACAATACATGAAATATTAACCTTATTTGGAATCATTTATTAATAGTAAATTTAGCACTATACTGGATTAGCACATTAAAGGCTGCTTTACATACAGTATCTAAATCCAGAAGCATAATATAATAAACTTTGACAATACATATATACATTGTTAAGTAGCATGACAATATCATTATTGAGTATTTAATCGTTTAAAAGATTTTATACGCTTTTACATTAACTTCGCAACAGCTTTTAATATGCACCAATTTAGTATACGAGACTGAATTTGTTGTAATCTTCCATTGGCCATGTAGAATTCGTATCTTCCATCAGCAACCTGGCTCTTTAAACTTCAAATACTTTTATATCATTCCAAATTATGTAAGTCTGAATAAGCACTTACAAAAACTTATGAAAACTTGTGAAATACTTACAAAAGCTTTAACAAGTTTTTAATCATAAAAATCAAATTTTATTTATTTTTTTTACAGATTTGAATTTATCTACCAGAATTTACAAAATATTGACTTCAAAGTCTAACTTGGTCAGTCCAGAGTTGTTAACTGCGTTCAGCAGAGAAAAAATTAATCAATTAGCTTTTAGGGTGTTATTTCATTTGTGCATTTTTGTCATATCACAAATGTGTGTAAGACAAAGAAGTCCTTGGATCTCTCTATCTTATAGTCAACCGAAGCTTGAAAAAGTCTGTGTCATACGATAGAAACACACGAATAAAACAGCAGCTTTAAGATGCTATTTCTTTTGTACATTTTTGTCGTACGACAAATGTGTACAGAATAGAGAGATCCGAGGATCTCTCTATCCCATAGCCAATCAGGCTTGAAAAATTTGTTGTGTGACAAGAACGCACAAATGAAATATCACCCTTAATAATTCTTCAATATTAATTGATTCTTACACTTAGCTTCAACAAAGAATTAAAGGCAAGAACCAATCATATTAAAGAATCACTAAGCACTGATTAGTTTCCTATGATTAGTTCCTACTGAATGCAGCCAAATGTCTATGAACAATAATAAAATAAAATCAATCACAATGAGACAGCAATATCTCTGAGCACTTTAAAAATACTTTAGAAAAGGACAATAAGATAAACAAAGTAACATGTACACATTTTTCTTCTAGAACGCAAGGATATAAATATCTCATTCCAAATGAAACAAAAAGTATAACATGAAACAAGAGAAAAAAAAGTAGATTGGTGCATATTTATGCTCTTACTAATTTCGTTCAAAGAGCCAGATTAATCAGACAAGAATTCCAAAATAGTCGAGGTCGTCGATGAACGCCCTTGTCCGCGGCTTGATCAAAACACGTCGTCTCACGGCGAAATTTCATCGGAGGAGTTCCATCGGGAACAACGATCGCGAGAACGTGCGTAGCATGCTTCCTACGAAGGAAGGAGAGTTCACGACAGACATAAACGTGTATAAACGCGATTCGACCGTGTGATTGCCGTCAAGGTTTCGAGAAATCGCGAAGCTGCGGGGAAGTTAACGAGCGTTATTGTTGACCTCGTCGTTCGATGTGAAAGAGAATTGGACAAGCTACGTTTATTGCGGGGACGAGGGGGGAAAGAGAAGAGACAGAAATTTCGCATGATATGGGATGACAGTTATATCGGGGATGGACGTATCACCGCGGCGATTCCGCGTCACGCGTTACAAATGAGTGGCCCAAGACGATGAGGAACATCACGACGTACTTACCGGCAGCAGACGCTCGATTTCGACGCTGCATTTGTGGCAAAAAAACCGAGACATCGGACTTCCATCCACAACGGCTTCCGCCATGTTTTACGTGTCTCTCAATTTTCCATCTCTCTACTTGCCGTAGTTACGGTTGGCGATTTGTTCGGCTACGTTCGATACACCTCGGTTGGACTCGGGCTTCGGCCACGGAGTACAACGAAATGTTAGATGGCAGTGTTGATTTTAGCAGCACGTGAAATTGTACTTTAAATTTAAGTGTTGCCAATTGCTAAACTGAAAACTCGCCATCTTTAACCTAATTTCTCAACAATTAATCTGTTACAAAATATGTATTTGTTTGTAAAAATTTAATTTAGAAGAAATTTAATTTCAAAATCTAATTTATCATCCGCGCTATACTTTTCTCGTAACATGAATAGGTTAAAAATTAAGACAAATTTTAAAGTCTTGTTATTGGCAATTCTGATAACAAATTAATTGACCAATCGAGTAATTGGTGTATAAACGTAAGGTCTGTTCGCGTTGTTTTTGCACTAAACATCATCGCTTTCTTTCTCTTTGACACACGAATATATATTTATCTCATTTTAAGTGCAAACATTTTTGAAGATTTCAAGCAACGTGAACAAAAGTTTTGATGTTGAAAATGAGCGTTGATTTCACGTGAGCATAAAAAGGCGTCTTTAGGAACAGACTTGTCACCTATTGAGAAGTTTATCAATCCTGTTACAGATGATTCAAATTTTGTAACGTGTAAAGTTTAAACGTAAAAGTAACAAATGTAAACGTGTAAGAAACAAATGTAAAAAACATTTTGTGTTTTGACAAGTTGTGAGATTAATTAACTTTAGTATAATTTTAATATTGGTTTTAATATCAAATTATGGAGGATCATTGGATAGAATCGTTGAAAATGAAATTCGTAAACATTGATACATCGACGCTCAAAGGATTATTACTGTCCACAGTAGAAAAACTAGATGAAATTAAAAAAGACCAAAATCAACGATTCAATGGTAAATTTTACTATTGAGTATATGGAATAATTTAATTTGATAGAAAATAAGCCAATAAGTTATTGTATTGCTTGAAGTCCTGAAATGATAGAATACATTGTGTTATATATTTCCTTTTATATATAACCCCTATATATTTTTAGAGGATGAAACTAAGATTAAGGAATTAACGTCAAACTTGGCTGCTACGAAAGAGACACTGCATATGGAAATTCAAACTTTAGAGAGCAAGAATAATAAGTTATCAGAAGAGAAGAATTATTTAGTGAGTGTAATATATTTTTATTTTTTCCAGAAAGTCTATGGATGTTTATTATTGCAGAATATTTTTTAGGATGAGCTGGAAGCAGAGAACAAGAAACTCTTACAAGAGATTAAACAGTTGGAAGGGAAACGTACTAACTTGATGTCTATTAAACCAAATTTACAAGATCAACAATTGCTGGAACAAGGAAGGCATGTATTATCATTTATTAATGCAATCTGTTTTATGATATTGTCATAATTTTGTTTGTTTCATAGGAAAAAGTTGAATTTGTATAAGGACTTAACAAGGATACAGTGGGATTTTGAAGCTATACATTCAAAGCACAGTATTCAAGGCTGTATCCTTTTTCTAAATATTTATATATATGAAATTAGCTAATATATAAAATATATCAAGTACGATTTTGTATTTCACACTAGCTACTTCTTTTGCCAACAAGTAATAGATATGCATATCCTTAATTCTTGACACAGACGTTTCAAACAGACGCGACTACATTCACCATTTCTGTTATGATACTCAAGAGATTAATAAAGAGTTAACCGACTCACTGTGGCATGAAATATATTTGTCTACGAGCGAAGCTGAAGTCAGAAATGAGAATCTTCCACCAAACTAGTATAAATATTATATCTAAACAAGATGATACAATTTTAATACTTGATTACTTTTAGAAATAGATAATATATGAAGATGTATATTGATCTAGGATAAGGTGATACAATTTCATAATATAATTCTGAACGAAATAAAATTTGAATTGAATTTTTGAGATACAGGTTTAATAATCCTCTTTGTGTGGACAAGATTCTGAAGAGTAGAACAAAGAAAAAAATTGAACTTGAATTTCGGAAATTGAATTAAACTCTTTTATTTCGTTCAGAATTGTACCGTGTTCAAAATTATATCACCTTATCCTGTATATATTTGTGCTAAACCTGTAATAATAAACACTTTAATTTTTATCTTTTTATTTTTTTTTTAATTCTTTTATTAAAGATTTTTATTATACAATTCTTTATGTACAGTTATGTTTTAGAGATCAAAAGATTAAACACACGGTTCGTATAATGCAATATATAATAAACACAAAGGATAAATAATCCTACCATTGTAATAGTACTTATGACGAAGAAAAGTATACAGCTTAAAATACTCGCGCCAATAGCTAATACTGTCCCTGAAAACAATATGTGCTTGTTTAGTGTCCAGCAACAGCAGCTCTGTGATCAAGAATAAGAAATGTAAGATTGCTTACCTTGAACTATCATAAAACCAATAAATACAAATATAGCGCTGACGATACCAAATATAATAAACAAGAAGATGGGTGCAAGAAGCGATGCTAATGCAATGAAGGTAGCCACCTGCAGAAACGGATTGCGGGCCAACTGCTCCTTAAATCTGAGGATAAATTTACGAACGTTGGAATGTTGTAAAAATGTCTGGCATTTTTTAGCCTGTTCTTCGTCTGAAATTAAACATCAATCCTTCATTCCTCTTTCAAAATGATAGAATAAGTAATGTGACAAACTAGTGAAGTGTTGCAGGTATACTTACAATACATGATTATTGAATCGTATATACTGTCGTTTTGTGTCTGAAATAAAACAACCTGTGTTTACTCATCTGAAATTAGCAGAAATATAAGATAGGCTAAAAAAAAGGCAACACTAAGCAGCATTAATACTGCAGAACAACATGACTATATAGAGAATGGACAAAATAATGTAAACACTTGAGAAATATATTATCTACTTGTCAGGATTATGAAAGTATTTTGTAAAAATAAGTAAACTAGTTACAATTTTTTTCTCGAAAAGTAATTTTTATTATTACAAGTTAATTTGGAAAAGTATTTCGTATTTTTTAGTTATTTTTTGTAACTTTTTTACACTTTTTTATTTTAAATACAAGAATCTTACATTTCTGATAATACTAAAATATTTGTTACATTCAATCATTCGCTATTTCATTTATAACAAATTAATATGTATACTTCTGTTGAAATCAGAATTATGGAATTAATATTAAAATACATTCAGATACTAAAAGACTTTTAGTTTAATTCTTAATTTTTACAAACATTTAGGGAGAATAATTATTAAGAATAAAGATATATTCCAATTCTAAGAAATAGATTGTTTACTGAGTGCTTCATTTTTATCAGTCAATATGTTGAATAAGTTTATAAAAAGTAACTATTAAATTACAGTTACAAAAAAATGTACTGTAACTGAGTTACAGTTATGGATGGAAAAGAAAAGAACACACAGTTATAATTATTGAAAAAAGAAACTTTAACTATAATTTTATTAAAGTAACGAATTACTTCTCAACCCTATTATTTGTTTTATTAATAACAAGTTCGCCTATTATTTGTTTTTAATATAGTTTCTATCCTCGTTAAAATAAAGTCATGTATGCTTGAATAATATAACTGCTGCAGTGTAATATTATATCATTTTTCTAACAAAATATCTTTAATTGTTTTAAAAATATATTGAAGGAAAAAATCTTTTGGAAAAATTTTGGAAAATAGAATGAAAAAATTATATAAATATATATTATATAATTATATTCTATTGATAAATATTCAAGCATTGATCTGCAGAACACAAATTAATAATAACATTACATCAATGTTGTAATTTCCTATTCAACAATGTAACTGTTGTCTGTTACATTATGTATTATATTCTTATTGTTGAATGAAGAAAGTATAGTTAGAGGAATAAGGTTTAAGGCTAGACCTAATTAATTATAATGATGAAGTACAGTCAAGGATGGATAAATTTATTTGTAACTCAAATATCTTTCTTGACTTTACATAGCTGAAGTGAATAGATATATGTATTAATTTATATTGTTGAGTGCAAACCCAGCAAACGAGAATGGATTGAAATGAATTAAAATGAATTCAGATTTTCAGAAATATTGATTCACGAATGTTAAAATGAATGCTTTTCAATCCTGAATGCATTTTTATTCATTTATAGGAATTGCATATCTCTACCCCTTCAATCTAAAAATAATATTAGCTTTTTCTATACACACACATTGTGAATATTGTTCAATTCAAAATTTTGACTAGGAAATGCAGTTTTTTAATCCAATTGCATCCAATTGAATTAAATCCAAAAAAAAGTATTCGCTATTTAAAATATGCATCGAATAGAAAAAAATTTCAATCCATTTTAATCCAGTCATTTGCTGGGAAATAATAATGTTTAGTATTTTTACTATTAATTTATGTTCTGCGGAGAGTAACTATTTCAAGAGTAAAATGTGTATTAAGAGTGGATAAAAATGAACCAACCTTTTATTAAAACAAATAGTAAAGAAATAATATATTTCTCAAGTATTTACATTACTTTGTCTATCCCCTGTATATTTAATTTACCTCTGTCATTTCTGTCAAAGTTCTTCAAAGTAGTTCTTAGATGCAGTTAAACACTTCATGCATATCATGACTTGCACAACGCAATTCGAAATAAATAAATAAATATATCTAGCTTTTGCACATAGCAGTTTTCGAAAAGATAGACAGATATTTATCCAAATTCAGAACCGACGTCATTATTAAATCACTTATCACATCTTATTGCATTGTATACATATGCGCCAGTGTTTCTGTATCTATTTTCCCTCTTATTTTCCTCTCTTATCAACAAAAAAATGTCAAAGTCCAGGCAGATTTGCGCAAAAGCGATACGCACAAAATCAATACGTCCATTAATTATCAATTCAATATTTAATTATGCGTAGTTCTCATCGCATTTCTTATGCGATCTCTCGATATACGCATTTATGTACTTATATTTTATATTTTTTCTTTATACTTAATATTTTCATGTGTATTTTATGCGACTAAAATAAATGAGTATTTACATTCAGAGTCCTTTGTCAGGACCGATTTCGAACTGGAGTTAAGATGTATATGCCGAACTCTGCAGCGCTCTCGTAACTCGTAGGTCTTCGTTGAAAGCTTCCGAGAGACCCCAGAGTTCCGATCCGAATTAAAATGAAGACGCGCGGAGGACACGGAGACGGAGGTTAGCGTGACGTGCACTGATGTGCACGGTGAAACTTGACAGATTAACTACGTATTAACAACGCTAAATATGCGCGTGAAAATTACGTGCTCCGGCAGGACGTTAACAAGAGCCGAGGCACGGAAATTGACATCTACAAACTAAACGAATTCATAAACAATGCAGTTACAGATATCGCTGGACACTCCGTTTGATGACAGAACCGCGTCATCCTGGTCGAGGTATAATCAGCGGGATACGTCGTTTTGTAGGCGGTCACCGATTTTCTAAACAAAGGAGTCGCTGATTCATTAATTATTTATGACTTTAACTAAACTCCGATTTTACTTAATCAGTGATTAACATATTATTAAACAGCATTGGCTTGTCAACGAATACATAATTATTAATTTTTTATAGTTTAATTTACAAAAGAACAGATTAGAGATAATTATAATAAAAAAATTTGCTTTAAGCAATTCTATCAATTGCATTAATCAAAGTTTGATCAAAGCTCTTATTAAATTAATTCTAACTTAATAATCAGTAATTAACTTGTCAAGCAACTTGTATTTATTTTATATACACCTGGAGTTATTAAAATTTAATTTCTAAATGAGCAGATTAGATTAGATATAACAAATTGTAATTAAAATATGCTTTAAATTCTATTAATTAAAATAATCAAAATTTGATCAGAATTATTATCTTTACAATTGCTATTACAAATACTGGCAAGATTAGGTTATAAGAAGTCTCTATTGTTCAGGAGGGAGAGGCAGAAATGGTTCCTGTCATTGCTATGTGGAACATGTCTGATATATGCTACACGTACATCTGTTCCTCTGCTGATACCTGTTGTCAGTCAGGAGAAGAATTGGTCCAAATCGGACTCAGGCATAATATTGTCGAGCTTCTTCTGGGGATATACATTGACGCAAGTAGCCAGTGGCTACATTAGCGACAAAATCGGTGGCCAGAGAGTATTGTGGATATCTGCTCTTGGTTGGTCGGCAACAACTTTCGTCATGCCAGAAATTATAGAATTTTTTTCCGGAGATGGGACATCCGTTCTGCTTGTTGCAGCAGTGAGAATGATAAACGGAGCATTCCAAGGTAATTTTCAAGTATTATTGCTGGCGATGGAGGATAATATGACACTTGTCACTTACAGGAATGCATTTTCCTAGCATGATTAGCTTGATCAGTCAACGCTTGCACGAGGCAGAAAGGGCCTCCTTTTTTAGCTTATTAACATCAGGATCTGCTCTGGGCACTCTACTCACTGGGTCTTTAGGCTCATATCTTCTGGAAAATTATAACTGGATGACTGTCTTTCGAGCGTTAGGTACAATGTAGCTTATGTAAATCGATGTCAAATTAATTGAAGAATCCACAGATAAATGATGATAGTTTTTGAGACGTCATGTAAGAATAATTTAATAGTTGAATATATCTCTTTGTTAATTTTATTTTTAAGCAGAAATGAGAAATGTTTGTGGTGCTTACTAATTTATTTATGTAGGAGGCATGAGTTTGGCATGGACAGCTTTATTAAGCTACCACACTCTGCCTTTTAAGGAAAAAACAGCTTCTATCAAGTCTACCGACTACACTTTGCCTTGGTCCAAACTTCTATCACAACCTCCTTTCTGGTAATTATAATGCATGAGCTTCAATATTTTCGAAACCTGTTTTATATTTGTATAGGCTAGAGGTACAAAGAGAGACTTTTATAATCAATTAACCATAGCAATTAGATTGAATGACTTTCCTAAAACTCTATTGATTTAACGTTTTTGATTTTCGCGTTTTAAATCATGAATTCTCGGAATCGCAGTTCTTGGAAATGTGGAAAATTTTTAGAATTTTAGATAGTGCAATCTCTTTGCCGATCATATTTTCCTAACTTTGTTGATTTCGAAAACTTATGATTTTACCCAAAAATAATGAAAGCTTGAATTAAGCATACATACTTTAATTTATACAAATGATCTGAATCATTCAATTATGAAAATTATACAAGATTATGATCATAAGATTTATAAGATAAATATAATATGTTTTATAAACCAATTTTCTCATTTATGTTTGTGATTGTTAATTGATTTTTATAATTTTCAGGTCCTGTGTTATTGGACATGCTTGCCAAAATAACTGTTTCTTTGTACTACTTTCATGGATGCCTACATATTTCCATGACACATTTCCTGAAATCAGGGTAATATTATTATCTAATTTTTATTCTAAGTATTATTGCTTAGAAAGTCTATGAAAAGTATATGAAAGTATGTGAAAAGAAAAGACATAAGAAGTATTCTATAACAAAGGTAGTAAATAATATCTCATATTCATAGCCGAGAAAACGCTAAATAATAAGTAATTTGTAATAACAACATAAGTAATTTTTTTCTTGCTATATCATGTTGAATAAACTTTAATTAACAGGGCTGGATTGTAAATATGGTGCCATGGCTATCGATGTTACCTTGTACATTCTTGGGCAAAGCTCTGTCAGAAGAGATAATTAAAGCCGGTTATTCTGTTACTGTGACACGCAAAACAATCCAAACGATTTGTTTTGTCATCGAAATTGGAAGTCTATTATTTTTGGGTAAGCTTGATCCTTGGTAATCAAGATTTATACAACAAAAGTCTGGAAAATTTGACATTTTTGGGATTAGTTATTTAAATATCCATAACAAAGTTCTTTTTAAATAAAGTAATTATTTGCTTAGCCTTTGTTAATTCCAATATTACATTATTTGACACGTTTTTGTACGAAATGAAAGAATCTAATAAAAAAAGTATTTAATAATTTTTAATAATTCTTTAAATAACATTCATATACATATTCCCCATAGCGAAAGTGGAAAGTTTTGAAAATGCCATACTTTGTCTCGCGTTAATTATTGGTGGCTCAGGCTTTCACAATAACGCTATCGCTGTTAATCCTTCGGATCTTGCACCAAAGCACTCTGGCAGCGTATTCGGTTTGATGAATACTGTTGGCGCGATACCTGGTAAGTAATTAATATAATCAATCACATGAACAGCTAATATATTTTCTTTTTTTTTCAGGTTTTCTCGGTGTATATTTTTCTGGACATATTCTACATGTGACACACAGTTGGCCTGCTGTCTTTTTATTTATAGCTGTTATTGATGCATTAGGATGTATAATGTATTTATTGTTTGGCTCAGGCCAAGCAATCATATAAATTGTAAAATAAAAATAAATTTTTATTAATAAAGTTTAAAAATCAATTGTTATTAAACGAATTTTAAAAATAAATTTTCATTAAACAAATTTTCATTATGTTATCGTTTTAAAAATCATTCATAAGATCTCACATGTTGGTCTCTTATTGGCGAAGAAATGAAAAATTACTAGAAACATTACTAGGTCGATGTGAGTAGTGTGCAATTGAACTGTGTGCAAGTGCGCCACTCCTATTGCTGTTTGCACTTTTTGCACTCAGCATCTTCGCTTTCTCTTTTCGTACTTAAATAACAATACATATCTATCTCATTTTAAAGCAAACATTGGGAATTTTAAGCAACACGAAGAGATCTAGGTCTGTTTTTCATTCTTGCACTAGATTATAGCTAGATTAGAACTCTCTCACTTTCGCCAATTATAAACGTATACCTATCTCATTTAAGTTTCAAAAGTATATATTGGGTCATCTAAAAAGTATCCGCGGTTTTTTGTCACTAGATGTGTGTTGATGGTCATATATCTAGTGACAAAGTACCGCGGATACTTTTTAGATGACCCAATACTATTCAACAAAAAACATTATTTATATGTAACTTGCAGTTATTTGCGACGTTAATGTGTACGTGTCAGCAATTAGCGATGAAAAAGTAAATAATGGCTGCGATCAACAGAGAAAATTAATCGATTAGCCACAATTAGCCGTTAGCGCTTAGTTTTTTTTTTTAATATGATTGGTTCTTACACTTAGATCCAACAAAGAACTAATGGTAAGAACCAATCATATTAAATAATCACTAAGTGTTAACTGATTAGTTTCTTCTGCTGAACGCAGTCGAATTTTCTTCGTTCATAGCAGTTCATATAAACAAGAAAGATTTCGCAGATTTTTTATTTTTGTGACATCAACGTCGATTTTAATTTTTTTTCAGAAGTGAGTAATACTTTATCATATTTTCTAATTAATTGGTAAATCTAAAATGCTAAAGTGTATTTGTGTACAAATTTATAACAGTATCTTACTTAAAATAATTTATATATTTAAATCTATTTTTTTCATAATCATAAAATATTTTCGAAATTCTAACATCGTTTGGACAACTTTAAAATGTTCATATGTGTTCTTCGATATATTGTTTAACTGCAAAATAATAGTAATAAATTATATGTTGATTATTTAACTACAAAATAATAGTAATAAATAGTAATTATATGTTGATAATAGAAATGTCACAAGATGAGGAAGTAGATTCGCAAGCGAGTCAGTGGTACGGAGTACGAGAAGCCACATTATTTCTCGTCGATTGTACAGAAAAAATGTTTATGCATTCATCTGATATTGATGACAAAAAAATCACTTACATCGAAAAGTTTTTTAAGGTCGGTTATAACATTGCATGTTAGTTTGAAACTCATTCTTTTTAAATGAACTTTCTTCTTTTTCCTATCACATCAGAAAAAAAAAGAAAAGTTATGTATAAGAAATTCAGATAAAAAAGAATGGGACTTGTTGGTTAAAGAATTACATATAACTGATTGTCATTCATTATCTTTTCAGCTATACAAACAAATTCTTCGGCAAAAGCTAGCATGGAGTATGCAAGATTGGATGGGCGTAGTGCTATTTGGTACAGAAAAGAGTGACTCAAATTCACCATGGACAAACATTCAGACTCTGCAAGAACTCAGAGTTGTTACTTTGGATGATTTACAACAGATTAGAAAACTAAGCAAGTTACAATCGATAAATGTAGCATATTCCTTAAAAATGTGAGTCACAACTTTCGTTTTTTTTCCTGATTTTTACAGCTAAAAGTAACATGAAGGGTTATGAGAGTATGAAATTAAAAAATAATGCTCTGCTTCTTGATGCATTGACATATGCCACGGATATCTTCTTGAAAATAAAAACAGTCCTCACTAAACGTAGAATAGTTTTGATCACATGTTATAACCCCGACTATTCGGACGACGAAAAGCATCGCATCAGAGCAAAGGCGAAATCTTTGAAGGAGTTGAACATTAATCTACATGTGATCGATTTGAGAAATAATTGGCCGCTCGATGAGTTCTATAAAGATTTAGAAATGTTGTCGAGGAAGATGGAGATAGGCGTTTACAGAAGGACGTCACTCGTTGACTTGGTACAACAGATTAAAGCACCATCCAAAAATATCGCACGCTTATCCTTTCAGATATGCGATGGTGTGGAGATTGATTTAGCAGTGCGTACTCTGGGCAGGTAGGTCTTTGTGTAAGAATAATATTAATTTCGTAATATTATAATTAAATTTTGCACAAGCAAAAACGCAAATATCATTTTACAGAAAACGTAGATGTTTGCAAACGAAGCCACTAAGCAAAGCGACTAATCAAGTTTTGTCCAGATCAACCTATTTTAAGGATATCAATTTTTCTAATGATGAGGTGTATATCTCTCGCTAAACGTAACGTAAAAATTTGCTTAATCTTAATCGGTCTTCTTCGAGCCCAATTCTTCTTTTTCTCTGTATTTTCTTCAATTATATTGTGAAAAATTATTTATAAGAAATATTTTTCACAATCTTATATAATTTTAAGTTACATGATCTTATTTCTCGGATCTTGACCTTCAAAGTGACAAAAAAAGTTCAACTATGTCAACTTTGAGCAAAGATATATTAATTTAAAATTAAGATATACTGTAACCCGTGAACACGAGTTCCGATTAGGGTTAAATTACATGTAAAATATCTTAAATTTATTTCTTATACCTGATTTGTTTAATTTAGGAAGACAGTGACAATGAGGAATCTGATTTACCTTTTATGATACCAGAGGAAGTTAACTTGGAAACTAAGGAATTGATCGGTGGCAAGAAGCTGCGTTTCACGCGAAAGGAACTCTTACGGATAAAGCATTTATATCCACCAGCCATCAAGATAATTGGTGTAAGGCCTATACCCAGTGACCTTTTCAGATATCATGTTAAACGGAAGTACTTTGTTAGAGCGGATTATGGTAGTACTCGTAAAGGTAACGCATATATATATATAATGCACAATAAAAAAATTAATGCGCGTTTAATTTATTGTGTACCATAAAATTTCACAGAGATATACGTGAAATGTGATAACACTATTTATGATACCACAACATTTAATTATTATGTAAAGGCTGATCTATATATGCTCTTTGCTTCCTTTTTTGCTTGTATTTTTTCCTTTTTTTCTTTTTTTCTTTTGTGTATTTTATTGATAATCTTTTCATGTCTTTTCCGAAGTTTTTCAAACTTTTATCTCTATGAGAGAAAACGAAGAAATAAAATAAGTACGAAGACAAGAGGTAAAAAGTAAGAAACAGGAAGTAAAGAGCACATTGTAGATTAGCCTTAAAAGTAATGTCAAATGTGATCATAGTTTCTTTTTGCAGACAATCTATTGTTCTTCAGCGCTTTATTAAATAAATGTGCGACTAAAAGTAAAATGATAGTGTGCGCGTTCACAATGCGGTTGAATACACAAACTAATCTCTGCTACATGATTCCGAACGCTGAATTGGGCGGCTTTTATTTATCGAAAGTCGCATTTCAGGGTATGTCTAATTATATTTTACATAATTACACTATTAGAAAGAGATACAAGATATTCTTTACTTAATGAATTTAATTTTATATTAGGGAGCATAGGAGACAAGAGCGAAGCGTTGCTACATTATGATACGCAGAATTCTGTATCGGACAAGGAAGTTGCGCTGTGGAAAAAAACGATCGATCGACTCGATATGAATTACCATCCGTATAATTTTAGATCTTATAAATTAGAGTGTCAGATACAAATAGTGGAGAAGTTAGCTCTGGACAAAGAACCTGGCCCTCCACCGATTGATTCCATCGAGAAATCATGTAAGTAATATTTATTGAGATAACAAATTCATAGCGTTTTACAAGTGATGGGAAGTACTTTCATTAATGTATTTTTTAATGCTCATGTGAAATAAATAACATTCTTTCATTAAAAAACGCTACGAATTAATTCCAACACCTAATATATATATTTCAAGCGAAGTTTGGACTTCTTAAAAACTAACATTTAGGATTATACTTCAAATATCCATAACAATGTTTTTTTTAACAATAATTCTTTAGAGAAGTATTAGGTGTTGGAATTAATTCGTAGCGTTTTTTAATGAAAGAATGTTATTTATTTCACATGAGCATTAAAAAATACATTAATGAAAGTACTTCCCATCACTTGTAAAACGCTATGAATTAATTCCAACACCTAATATTTTAATAATTATAATAATTATTGGTTTTGATTCTAAAAAATTTAGTAAAATTTATTGTGAAAAAATATATAAGTTATATATTGAGTAAAGAATTGTTGGATATTTGAATAAATAATGTTAATTCAAAAAATCAAGAGAATAAAAAATGTTTCCGAATTTTTGATCTGGAGTGTACAGAGAGTAAAAGATCTCATTACTTGGGTAGAAAAAATAAATTTATATCAAATTATAGATTAATGCCAACTTTTTTTCAGATTTAATGGCTAAACAGAAAACAAGTGATTTAATATCTGAATTTTATGATGTGTATCCTGATTTACTATTTGTCAATGATGGTCCAACAAAAGCAAAAAAAGGTAAAAAAAAATAGAAGATATGTTTATTAAAATATGTGATTATGCATGTGGAATATGTTACATGATGAAAATATTTTTAATGATACATAGAAATTTTGTTTCGCATTTTCTTGAAAATTACTTGTATAATAAAGACCTTAAAAAAATAGGTAGTATCGTACTATATAAAAGATAGAAATACTGTTTGTTTTTAAATGCTACATTTTATTTCACAAAAATATGCACTTATGTATATACCTATGAAATTGTATGTTAAAATCTTGCTTCTTTAGAATATTTCAATTTTATTTTGTTATATAATTTCATGCTATCAGTCTTGAAATGGATATAGATATTTAGAAATGATTCTAATTAATGCACAATGTAACATCATAAAATTTATATAAATATAAACCT